TCAGCAGCAAAAGCGCCTGCCTGGCAAGCGCAAGGTCGTGAGTTCGGTTCCCGGTACCGGAGAAAAACCAAAAAAAAAAAAAAAAAAAAAAATTCAGAAGCAAGGAAATGACCAGTTAGATTTAGAACGATATTCTGAAAGAAGAAACTAGATGAGGTGGAAAAAATCCAATGTGATAACTCAAATTGAGTTGGGAAGAGAAAAGTTTAGAGAGGACACCTGAATCAGGTCAGGAAGAACCACAAACCCCCTTGTGCAGGCTGGCTTGCTCTCTGAGTGAGATGGGAGGTCATGGGAGGATTCCAAACTGATCATGAATATGCTTCTTTATGTTTTAAATGATTTTGAAGGTCACTCTCTTGAGAAGGGTTTATAGTGCTAAGAAAAGAGTCATGGAGGCTTGTTACAGCTGCAATAAAACTCTTGTGAGTGATGGTGGTGGTTAAGAAGTGATAGCTACAGAGTCAAACAGGAGTCTAGCTGGAAGCCTGAGCAACTAGAAGGATGGAGTTGCTGATGGAGAAAACATGGTGAGTAGGTTCAATGAGGAAGACCAGTAGTTAAGTTTCAGTGAAGTTAGTTGTGCAATATCTACTAAGTATTCAGTTGAAGATGCCAAACAGGGAGTGCTATGATCCTGGAGTTTGGGGAAGAGATTTGGGTCTGAGCTATAAATTTGAGAGTTGTTGATGTATAGGTGGTGTTAAAAATCTTGGGGTTTAGTGAGACCATCAAAAGAACTAGAATACATTAAAAAATTACACAACCAAAGGTTAAATCTGCTAGGTAAAGAAGAGCAAGTCAAGGCCAAAGTGCAAAGAAGGTAGGAAATTTTAAAGAGCAGAGCAGAAATTAATGCAATGGAGACTAAGAAACCAATACAAAGAATTAATGAATAGAACAGCTGGTTCTTTGAAAGAATAAATAAAATTGATAAATTCCTAGTCAACCTTATCATAAAAGGAAAAGAAATCCTCAATTTCATGCCATAAAGAATGAAAAGGAGGGAATCACTACAGATGCTGTAGAAATTCAGAAGATCATGAATACCTACTTTGAAAATCTTTACTCTCATAGGACAGAAAACACAGAGGAAATGTACAGATTCCTAGATACATATGAATCATTAAAGCTGATGAAGAAGGTATAAAAATCCTAAGTAACTCAATATCTCCCAACAAAATTGAAAATGTAATAAAAACTTACAAAAAAAAAAAAAAATAAAGGCCCAGGTCCTGATGGATTCACAGATGAATTCTACAAAAAATTTGGAGGAGGTTTAATGCCAATTCTTCTCAAACTCTTTAAAGAAATTGAAAGGGAAGGAATTCTCCCTAACTCATTCTTAGAGGCAAGTATTATCCTGCTAACAAAACCAGAGAAAGACCCAAACAAAAAGACAACTACAGGCCAATCTCCCTAATAAATATAGATGCAAAAATTCTCAGTAAAATACTAGCAAACAGAATGTAGCAAACCATCAAGATTATACATCATCACCAAGTGGGATTCATCTCAGGAATGCAGGGATGGTTTGATATACGCATATCAATTAATGTAATACACCATATCAATAGAGCCAAGGACAAAAATCACATGAGCATCTCAGTATATGCAGAAAAAAGCTTTTGATAAAGTCCAACACTCACTTATGATAAAAACCCTACTGAAAATATAAATAGATGGTCTTTACCTCACTCTGATAAAAATCATCAATGACAAAACAATGTACTAAATGGACAAAAACTGAAAGTTTTCACTTTAAAATCAGGAAAAAGACAAAGATGTCCACTGTCATCACTTCTATTCAGCATAGTTCTGGAAATGTTAGCCAGAGCAGTTAAACAAGAGAAAGAAATAAAAGGAGTAAGGATAGGAAAGGAAGAAGTGAAATTATCATTTTTCACAGATCACATGATACTCTACATAGAAGACCCCAAAAACTCCACCAAAAGGCTTATAGATTTAATAACCAAATTCAGTAGTGTAGCTGGATACAAATTCAACACTCAAGAATCCATAGCATTCCCATAGACAAAAGACAAACAGACTGAGAGAGAAATTAAGGAAACCACACCTTTCTTAATAGCATTTAAAAAAATGAAATACTTGGGAATCAATCTAACAAAGGAAGTAAAACACCAATACAGTGGAAATTACAATACTCTGCAAAAAGAGATTGAAGAGGATTTCAGAAAATGGAAAGATATCCTTTGCTCTTGGATAGGAAGAACTAACATTGTGAAAATGGCCATACACCTAAAATTGTCGTTCAGATTCAATGCAATTCCGATTAAAATATCATTAGTATACCTCATAGATCTAGAAAAAATATTTCTAAAATTCATCTGGAACCAGAAGAGGCCTAGAAAAGCAATCCTGGGAAACAAAGGCAAGGCAGGAGACATCACAATCCCTGACTTGAAATTATACTACAAAGTCATAAAATCAGCATGGTATGGGGAAAAAAATGGACCTGAAGATTAATGGAACAGATTAGAAGACGCAGACACAACTGCAAACACACTCAGCCACCTTATCTTTGACAAAGGGGCCAAACAATTTTGCTGGAAGAAAGATAGTCTCTTTAATAAATGATTCTGGAAAAACTGGCTTGCCACATGCCAAAGATTAAAACTAGACCCATGTCTATCACCATGCACCAAACCAAAGTTAGAATGGATCAAAGATCTAAATATTAAAACAGAAACATTAAATCTGTTGGAAGAGAAAGTAGATAGAAATCTTGAAGACATAGGGGTAGGTAGAGAGTTCATGAACAAAACCAAACTGCACAGGAAATATTTCAAATAACCAACAACTGGGATCTCATCTTATTGAAAAGTTTTTGTACATCAATAGAAATTACCAACAGAATAAAAAAAAAAAACCCATGAATTGCAAAAATATTTTAGCCAACTGTCCCTCAGACAAAGAACTTCTATCAAGGACATATAAAGAATTTTAAAAATCAGGACCCCAAAATGCAAAGACCCAATCTAAAAATGGGCATCTGAGATGAATACACACTTCTCAGATGAAGAAATACAAATGGCAAATCAATACATGAAAAATGTTCAGCATCATTGGTCATTCAAGAAATGCAAATTAAAACAACACTGAGATCCCATCTCACCCCAGAAAGAATGGCTATCAAGAAATCAACCAATAACAAATGCTGGAGGTGTTGTGGGGGAAAAGGAACACTTATCCACTTTCTGTGGGAATGTAGATTGGTGAAACCACTGTGGAAGTCAGTGGGGAGACTCCTCACAGAACTAGGATTTGAGGTCCCACTTAACCCAGCTATTCCCTTCTGGATATTTTCCCAGAAGAATTAAAAATATCATACCACAGTGATATATGTGCACCCATGTTTATAGCAGCATAATTTGTCATAGCTAAATCTTGGAACCAACCCAAATGCCCATCAACTGAGGAATGGATAAAAAAGATGTGGTATTTTTTATCCAATGGAGTATTACTCAGCTATAAAAATGATAAATTTGAGGCTTCTGTAGGTAAATGGATGCAACTAGAGACCATACTCATAAGTGAAATAAATCAGACCCACATGTATAAGCATAGTATTGTCTCCCTAGTGTAAGAACCTGAAAGAGTAAATAATACCCAGAATGTACAATAAATATGAAAGGGAAAGAAATTGCTCAAAGAAAGAAACAACTGGGATGAGGGAAAGGAGAAAAGGAAAAAAAGAAGGGACAAAATATATATATACATATATGGATGTCTGAGATATTTGTACTGCTGATGTCTAATGATTTATTGAAAGGAACAGTTAATGCTTAAATTTTTTTACCAATTTTGCATGCTTATATCTGGTGATCTGAACAACTAATTTGAAGGCAAGAATATGCAATGTGACAACCATTGGTGAATTCCTACCATCTTATCTAGTGAAGCTCTGTGTTGTGTCTAATGTTTTTTATTATTATTTTTTATTCTGTTTAATGATTTAATTAACCTTGCATTCTTACATCTGGTAATCTGAGCAACTTCGTTGAAGATAACAATATGTAATATAACAACCACTGTTAATTGCTATCATTCTGTCTTGAAATCCTGTATCGTTTTTATTGTTTTTGCTTTGTTTTGTTTTTGTTTATGTTGTTGTTATTTTGTTATTGTTCTTGTTTTATTCTCTTTGAAATAAAAAAGGCTAAATCTGGGGAATTTGCACAGAAAGAAAATCGTAAAGCAATGGAGACCCAGAAGTGACCAGCACAGTGCCTTAAAATTTGCTCCTCAATGTGACCCAGGGATCAGCGATATCTACATCAGTAAGAAGTTATAACTTCAGGTTCTAACACAGACCTAACTCAAAACTGCATCATAATGAGGTTCACTCTAGATGACTTATCCACATTTTACACTTTCAGAAGCGTTGCCCTACAAGACAAGGAAAGAAACTCCATTAAGGAGAGAGGAGTAATGGGCTGTGTCAGATGTGCTAATATGTCAAAGATGAGGATGGAAATCATGGTTGTAGAGTCATGAAGGTCATTCGTTTCCTTAGCAAGAGAAGTTTGGTCTTAGTGAGGGCAGCAGCATTACTGAATTCGATTTAAGTGGAACTGTTACAAGGAGAATTAGAAATTGGAAGTATAGAAAATTTTTCAAGGATTTTTTGCTTCTAAACAATGGCAAGAACATGGGTAACAGCTGCTCAAACCAGCGAAACCATGATACTTTTTCATTGTATAAGATGAAGAAATAATAGCATAGTTGGATGGAAATGATGTAATACCTATCTTGGAAGCAAACTGACCCAAAGAACAATACGTATCTAACTTCAAATCCCAAGACACACTTCCTAATTTTCACAACAATAAAAATGAATCCACATACATGTTGTGTATCTTTGAGACTCCACTGAGAATTATTTTGTAAGTCAGACAATGGGGAGCTCATCTGACTTATATAGATGGAGTAAATCTTTGTAGGATTCTTGTTAGAGGCCAACTCAGCCACTGTTACCTAAGTTTAAATGGTGAGGACATAGAAAGTTTGGTGTAATCTTTGGTAGCCACAACAATTCTCTAATATTTCAGATTTCTCATCCATAAAAATGAGGAATGCTAAACAAAAAATCTTGCAATTTGTTTTTAGTCCTAAAATGTCCCCTGTGAATGAGTCACAAATCTTTGTAAAAGTGTCCCAATCTGGAGAGAGACTGAGGGAAGATGGGTAGAAATTTGCGATGGAAAGAAATTTTACTTTTCACATTATTGTTTTGGGCACTTTAATTTTTGTATAATATTGGAATAGCTTACAGCAAACAGATACAAAATGCAACTATGTAGGTAAACTTTAAATAAAAGCTGTGGAGTATATCCAAAGCCAGGTTAAGTTCCTATGTGTACATGTGTCTGTGTGATTAGCTATGAATTATCAATGTATCTAGATCATCTGTACCTTTTGTTTTTAACAAAAGAAAGGTAACTGAAGTTTGCAGTTGGGCACTAATAAAAATTTCCCTTACACAATGGCAGGGATTATGTAAGTAATTTTACAGTTACAATTGAATAAATACGCCAGAGAATGCTGAGTGGGCTTGATACATGTTTATCAAATATCATCCCAATGACTGACCACAGAACTACAAAAGTAGTTTAACTCTTTTATTTAACTCTTCTTTCCAGGAAACATCAGCCATGATCAGCTCATTGATGATGTGATTTGACTTGTAAGCGGACGATCCAACAAGCCTGCATTGCAGCTGAAGGAAGAGCTTCTCAAAGGGCTCAAGACAGTTGATGTGACTGACTTTGTAAACTGGGCCTCTTCCTCAAACCAAGCTCCAGTGCTCATTAACTGAAAAGTAAGCAGTGTTTATTTGAAACAGAAGACCCTATCATTTTCGTAAGGGATGTCCAGGGTGATTCAGATGAACAGTGGCTGATCGGAAAGAGACATGAGCATTCACACACCCATCTCAGCCCAGAAAGCAGCGTGGCTGGGAAGAAAGGCGCACTGTGCTATCAGACAGCCTCAGCTGGGCTCCTGCCTCTGTCCCTCCATGAATGTGTAATGCTTCCATCTTGCCAATTCTCCAGACTTGCATTCCTTTTCTGAGAAGTTTGCTGGAGTAGAGCTTAGAGGACAGACTGGAACAAAATAGGTTCCCAAGAACTGTAAGTTTCCTTCTGCCTGTCCTTGATTGCTTTTTGTCTGCTGTTGGCATCAGGTGACCATTTCCAACACAGGAGAATCTTATTTATTAACTTTTTAAATCATTACTATAATTATCATCATATATGAGTTGTATAAATAAATGGATTTCACTGCCACGTTTCCATCCCTTGGTCATGTCTGCCTTTCTTTCCTAAGAGTCTCTATGAAAGAAATGTTCATAAAGGCCTCATGAAAATAAGAACAAGGCAAACAATCCTTATGATGAGAGAAATCTTTCCTTTTTCTGTCTTGATTGTAAGAGTCCTCAAATTAGAAGACTTGGGAGTTCACAATCCTGTGTTTATTCCTAAGGGGGAAAAATGCTATAATTGTAAAGATATACATATTGTTTAGTCCTGTTCCTTTCTCCCTCTTTTTAGTTACTAAAAAGAGTCTATGTTCCCCTACTTTGGCTCCTGATATTGTTAGAACTGTGTTTTCTATTTTCTTTATAACTTTCAATTTAGCCTGTATGTTTCACAAATTCCTTTCCTCTAGTAAAGTTTATCTTTGCTTACCACTTTGGTTAGGGTAATTTGAGTTACAGAAATGTTGGTATTTTTGATAATACTAGTTATTGGAGAATTTTATTTTCTCAATCTATTTTATCATCATTAACGTGATACAATCAAAAAGATTCATTGAAAAAATGGGGAGTGGAGCTACCCAAAACATTTCATGTATGTAAAGAAAGAACTAAAAAGTTCCAAAATTGTGATTAATTTTCCCATTGTTATAAAAATATCACCATTGACAAACTTGCAAATGTATCTATAATCTTCAAATAATATTTTTCCCCAAAGTAGAACAAAAAGTGAGAAAAAAAACTGGCCAAGTTAGCTATTTGTATATGAAAATAGAATCAGAAGTATCCTCTATTATTTTATCAAGTTTAAATTTTATTTAAATTCATTATCTTGAGCTAAGTAAAACAAATCTGTGCTGGAAGATTTTCCAGTAGAGGTAAACACAGGTGAATGTTTACATCCAGCAGACCTCTAAAGTGGCTTATTTTTTCCTTTCTACAAAGATCCTTTCTCATACGGATGGCCTAAGAAAGTTGTGGCTTAGTTAGTGCTTCACAGGTCACTTTCAAAATCTGTGTTCTTCTAGAGAAATTCCAGAAAACAGTAAATTATTGTCATTTGTATTGACTTCGTGTGTCCTTTGATTCCCCGGAGAGACATGAGACATAGTTTAATTCAACCTTGAAACAGATTCCAATTCATATTGCTTATGTAAGTCCAATAGAAAAGGTTGTTTTGATTGTCGGCTGGTTACCATTTCCAGCAGGTAATTATATAATCTAAAATCACTAATTCATTTTTTGGCAAGTTGAAACATTCTATTGTCTACACATGAAGTTTTCAAACACTGAGTATTACCTTGATATTTAAATCAGTAGCCTTCATACTTAATTAAAGAATTGATAGAATCTCATCTACCCTTTCTGAACTATGAACTGCTTTATATTTAATTCTTTATCAAATTAAATCAGTGATCTGAATGGCTCTCTTTCTGAGTTTATCTTAGAGAAAAGACCAGGAAATTCATTCTAAATAAGACTGTCTATACAAAGATTTTTTCTAAGTAAAATATTTGATGATGATAGAAGAAGAAAAAGAAGAGGAAGAAGAGGGAGGAGGAGGAGAGGGATGGAGGAGGGGAAGGGGAGGGGGAAGAGGAGGAGAAAACAGAGAGATTGGTACATAGTTCTTTTCTGTAAGTGTGGCAATGCTCTGTTAAGTAGAACTTATAGTTTTCAACTTTCCAGTGCCTTGGTCCAGCCTGAGAATTTTTCCTTGATCTCTTTCTATACAGAGAGCATAGGCTGGCTCATTTTTTCTGTATTTATTTTTGTCACAATCTTCAACTTTCACAAAATTGTACTAATCCTATTGCCAGTTTGCCTGCACATTCACACAAATGTTTTGCATTTTATCTCAACAGAATAGCCAAAGTTTAATTTTTTCTTTAAGTTACTGCTACAAACTAGTTAAGAAAATGTTAGCTGAGAGACTACATTCATCACAGATTGCCTAGAAGATTAAAAGTTTATGACTTCCTCCAGAACAATAGCATGGATCAGTATAGCTATGATACAGTGCCTGGCTTCCTGTAAAGCTTTGTTTTGGCCTTGTAAGAAGTAAAATTATGTAAATACTGCCTTATTTTCTAAAAGGATGTTATGTAATACACTGTCCCCCTTATTAAGAACTCACAGGAAATACTACTTCTTAATCTCATTTCGTTTCTCCTGGAAATCAGGCAGTTTTTCTTATACACCTGGGGTCATTAAATTCAGTTGTGTCTTAATGGGCTAGAAAATGTAACCATCGACCCATCTGGTGCACACGGGTGGGTTTTCCTGGAATGAATTTTGTTCATGTGTGTTACATTTACCTCCACCTCTCCTTTTCTGTTCTTGGGGGTTTTTTCCCACTTCACTCACCCCCTTTTCTCTGTGTATACAATAAGCTATATGAGCTCTTTCTGCAGTACAGTGAAGCAATAAATAATGAGTTAATTAACCTACCATTTTTGCTGTACTGGGTAATTCTTAGTAAATGTGCACCTGATGATAAAAAGCATCAGTATGTTAAAGGGCTGTAGCACAAGGCCTCTGTGGGGGTTCTTAAAAGTTATAATGATATAGTGCAAACTATTTGGAACTCTCTAGTATAGAAAGAAAAATAACATTCATTCTATCAAAAACTACACTTGGAATATAAATTTTCACATTTGGATGCCTAAAAGAAATCTAAAGGTACTTAACATTAAGATATGTTGTCAATTTATTTGTATTTTGACACATTTTCCAATACACCATGTCTACCAAAAATATACCTGCAAATGGCAAAAAGAGACTTAGTTGTTTTAGGAGAAAAATTAAAACTTTTTTTCTTACTAAAAGTTCAAAATTCATCAGGAAAAAGATGTTGATTTACAGAGAAACTTCAAGAAATACATTTTAATTCTCTTTTATCTGCTTGTGCGATTTCTTACTATAGGATTTGAGGCTTTCTGAAACTATTTCCATTGCCTGTCCTTCATCTTTATCTCTTTGAACTCTGTTTATATGTTTCATCCAAATTGTGTTTCCTCCATGACCCTCTATTCCTGTATCTTAGATTTTCTGTCCTTGAGTTTTCTTTGAAGGGTAAAACAAGATAATTTCTTTTCTCAAAAAATCAAAATAACTCTACCACATGCTTGTGTTGTTGGAGCCAATATGGCAATTATGGAAAGAAATTTTTCTTCTAAATAAATATGACAATGGAAATCTGAGTCTTGTGTACTGATTTATGAAAGATTATACTGGTAGACAGTTGTGTCGATGTGGCAGAAGGTCTGGATGTGTTCTGGATATTAGCCTGTTCCAACTGAAAAGCACTGTAAATACCTCCTCTCACTTATGGCTTTTCAGTCTTTTAAACAGGATTTCTTTTTGTCACAGATGTCTTTTTTTGTCTTTTTTCTTTTGAAATAATTTTAGACTTAACAGTAAAATAACACAGACAGTATAGACAGTAATATTGCAAACTAGTGAAGAGAATTCACATATATCCTTTACCCAACAGTCCCTAATTGTATAACACGATTAAATTATCAAAATCAGATCATTTCACTAGCTATACCATAGTCTTTACTCAAATTCCACAAGCTTTCCCCTTAATCTTTTTTTCCTCAAATCCAATCCAGGGTCCCACACTGGAGCAAACTGTTACGTCTCCGTAGGCTCCTCCAATCTATCATAGCTTCTCAGACTTTCCTTGTCTTTTATGGACTTGACAGTTTTGATGAGGAATGGTAAGTTATTGTGTCAAATGTTCCTCTGCTGGATTTAGAGTAGAGGTGATTATGCTTCTCTTGGCAATACTCCCATCAAAGTGATGCTGTGTCCTTATCTAGTGCATTTATCTTTGGTTTTCATGCTCAAAGTTTTTAATTTTAATGTAGTTAATTGGATCTTTCTATCCATTTCAGTTAGTGTTTCTTACCCCTTATGTAGTCTTTCTTTAGCTCAAAGTTTTGAAGTTACTCCACTCTATCTATATATTGTCTTCCAGAAACTTTAAAATATTGATTTTACCTTTAGATTTACAATTAACCTTGAATTTGTTTGGCTGTTTATTTGTTTGGTTGGTTAGTTTGTCTATGGTTTACAAGGTGTGATAAAATATATGGTGAACCTTTAAATTTCAGAAATTAGTACAATACATTTAACATAGTAAAATATTCTTAGAGTAAAAGACACAATAGTATTAACTTCCTTCAAAGTATTCTCCCTTATTTTAAACACACATACCCATCATTCTTGGCACTTTCTGAAGCAGCTCTGGAAGTCCTCTTTCCTGGGATTCTCTATGAGTTGTGATAAAAAATATGGTGAATGCCAAGCCTGACTACTATTCAGTGGAAATGAGGTAGGCTCAGAGAAACATAATGGTGTGTTGTCTTCCATCTTATTCACTAGATGTGCCACTGTGTGACTTCTGGCTCTTTCCCAAAGTCAAAATGATCGTGAAAATAAACATTTTGAACTGGTTCAGGACACTGAGGCAGCCATGACAGCACAACTAATGACTCTAAGGAAAAAGGACTTCTGGAACTCCTTCAGAAAGTGCCAAACAATTGGCTAAGTGTGTTCAAAGGGAAGGGTGGAGTTTTGAGGAGAATTAATGGCAATGTACATTTATTGTAAAATTTACACATTGAGCATATTTTTATCACACCTTGTAAGTTGTAAGTTGTTATGGTTTGTGTCTGGGTGTCCCCCCAAAGCCTCATGCGTACATGGGGCAGGCTTTTAGAGTTTGATTGATTATGGGTGTGAGAGCCACAACCGCCCTGTGGTGGATAGTTTGTATATGTAAGGGAGAGGAAGAGGCTGCTTGCCGCCATTCCTCCCTTGTGTGCTTGTTGCTTTTGCTGTGTTCTGCCGCCATGAGCTGTAGCCCTCTGCCATGTGCAGCCCTGCCTTGTAACCTGCCAAGTATGGACTGCAGCCTCCACAAACTGTAAGTGAAATAAACCTTTCCTTCCTTAATTTTGGGTGTCAAGTATTTTGTCCCAGCAATGAGAGAAAAGTAACCAAGACATAAGTCCATTTTTAGAATTCTTTCTATAAATATTTCATTGTCCTAGAACAATTTATCAAAAGGTTTTTCTTTTTCCTGTCTTTGCAGGACTACCCTTCTACATCAGTTTCCACACGTAGATGAAACGAGCGTCAGATGCTTCACGGTTATTACCGCACTGTGGTAATAGTACCCAAGGGTACTATAATTGTGTAAGTCTTGAGATCCTGGGCCTTGTCTTCATCTTCTTCAGAAGTCTTGGCATCTTAGTGAATTTTACATTTTGGCAATTTCAACAAATAATAAAGATGCTCGGATCTTGATTGGGATTGTCCTGAATTTGTAAATCCAGTTGGTGAAAGGTAACACTTTCACTTTATTTATTTATTTATTTATTTATTTATTTATTTTGCACCAGGAATCAAACTCATGGCCTTGCACTTGCTAAGCAGGCGCTTGTGCTGCTGAGCTATATCCCTGGCCCCAAGATTTGTTTTGATTTTTTTTTTTTTGGTACCAGAAATCGAACTCAGGACCTCACGCTTGCCAGGCAGGTACTGTGCTACTGAGACATCTTCCCAGCCCAACACTTTGATTATGTTCATGAATATTAAAAACTTCATCTATTTAGTCTTCTTGATTTCCCCTAACTTCTCATCCACATTTAGTGTTGCCATTATTTTTATTCATTTGTTAAGCCATTTCAGTAGGCTATGCTGGCACTTCTCTCATCATGAGTGGGTACCATCTGGGAGATTTAGTGAGCGTTCAAATATGCAAAGAGCACCTGTGAAATCTGGCAGCCAGTGTGATACCTAGGAATAAAAGATCAAACTTCTTTTCACTCAGCTCAGGAATAAAGATATCCAAATTTCATCATTTTCATTTAACATTGATATTAACATTTTAGCCACTGCAATAAACCAGAAAAAATAGTAAAAATGCATAAGGATTACAAAGGAGAAAGAAAAACTATCTCTCTGCCCAGAGCATATTTACACAGAAAATCCTAAGAAATCCTAAGAAACTGACCTTACATTTGTGTCTTTATTTTTCCTTATGCTTGGATTGGTTTTTGCTTTACATATTCTAAGGCTCATTACTAAATACAGACAAATTTATAATTGTTATTTCTTCCTCATCAACTATAGTATCTCTCTGCACTTCTAGTAATATTTTCTGCCTTATTTCTATCTTAATATGTATCTAGTTCTCCAAATATCTTTGTTGATTCACACATATCATAGATGCTATTCCTTCTATTTTCAATCTTTCAGTGTCCTCAAGTTTTGGTTAGACTTTTAAAAATCAAATATGATGATTATTATTTTATTTTAAATAAATAATTATTAGGCACCTATTATAGTGCTTTAGCTAATGCAATAAATACAACAGAATAAATCTCTATTCTAGCAGACTTTTTCTAATATAATCAAAATCACAAATGAAATAGATAAAATGTTAATGATGTCTTAGTATACATTCTTCTACTCACTAGTCTTCATCAGAATTATAGTAAGCAATATATGATTCTACAGTGTAATTTTAACATCCCATTTTTGAGGTTTTGGCCTATTATAATGTGATTATATTTTTTAAAATGGATATCATTTATATATAGCAAAATTCATCATTCACCCATTTTGGGGGATTGGTGCTGGTGATTGAACCCAAGACCTCTGTACTGAACTACATATTCAGCTCTTTTTCATTTTGAGACAGGGTCTCATTAAGTCACTAAGTTCCCCAGGCTGGGCTAAGACTTGCAATCCTTCTGCCTCAGCCTCCCAAAGGTGTGCTGCCACACCCAAATTTATTATTTTTACTAAGGACTCTGGGTTTTGACAAGCACATATAGTCATGAAACTGTAACCAAAATGAACATATAAAAATGTGTCTACCCAATATGCAATATAACCATTGTTGAATTCATATCATCTTGATTTTTGAAATTCTGTATCATTTCTAATTTTTTTGTTATTTTTTTATTCTCTTTAAAATGCAAAAATTGGCTGGGTATGGTGGTGCACCCCTGTAATCCCAGCACTTGGAAGGCTGAGGAAGGAGGATTGTCAGGAGATTGAGGCCAGCCTGGGCTACAAAGTGAGTTCAAGACCAGCCTGAACTGGAGAATGAAACTCTGTCTCAAAGAAACAAAACAAAATAAGACAAAAATAATAAAATAAAATACAAAAACTAAAAAAATGTGTCTACCACACAAAGTTTTTTCGTGCCTATTCTTAGTCTATTTCTCTTTCTGTCTTTCCATTTTCTGATACCCTCTTTGAGCTCCTTTTTCAGAGTACTGTAGTTTTCAATGTAAAGTTCTTTTACAAACTTTGTTAGATTAGCTCCTAAGTATTTTTATTTTTTTGGATGCTATTGTGAAAGGTGTGATTTCCCTAATTTCTCTCTCAGTGAGTTTGTTATTTGTGTACAGGAATGCTATTGATTTTTGAGTGTTGACTTTGTACCCAGCTATACAACTGTATTTGATTATTGAATCTAGAAGCCTTTTAGTGGAGCTTTTGGGGTCTTCTTTGTAGAGTATCACGTCATCTACAAATAATAATTTAACTTCTTCCTTTCCTATCTTTATTCCTTTTATTTCTTTCTCTTGTCTAATCTCTCTGGCCAGTGTTTCCAGAACTATATTGAATAGGAATGGTGATAATGGACATTCTTGTCTTGTTCCTGATTTTAAGGTGCAAGCTTTCAGTTTTTGTCTATTTTGTAGCATGGTGGCTGTTGGCTTGTCATAGATGGCTTTTATCAGATTGAGATAATGTATTCCAATTTTCTTTAGGGTTTTTATGATGAATAGGTATTAGACTTTGATAAATGCCTTTTGTGTGTCTATTGAAATGATTATGTGATTTTTGTCCTTGGCACTGTTAATGTTTTGCATTTATTGATTTGCATATGTTGAAACATCCCTGCATCCCTGGGATGAATCATATTTGGTCATAGTGTATAATCTTCTTGATGGTTTGCTGCATTCTGTTTTTCAGTATCTTATTGAAGATTTTTGTGTCTATGTTTATTAAGGAGATTGGCCTGTTCTCTGTTTTGGTTGGATCCTTCTCTGGTTTTGGTATCAGGATAATACTTTCTTCCAGGAATGGATTCAGGAATATTGCTTCCTTTTCAATTTCATTAAAGAGTTTTAGGGGTAGTGGTATTAGATCTTCTCTACATTTCTTGTAAAATTCAGTAGTGAATCCATCAGGACCTGGGTTTTCTTTGTTGGTAGGTTTTCAATTATGTCTTTGATTTCACTGACTGATATTGCATTACTTAGAATTTTATATCTTCTTAATTAAGCTTTGATAATTCATATTTATCTAGGAATCTATTACTTCCATGTTTTCCATCTTGTTAGAATAATAGGTATAGATGAAATTCTAGATTTCTATAGGATCTGTTGTGATTTCACCATTTTCATCCTAATTGCATGCATATGGGTTTTCTCTATCCTTCTTTTGATAAGGTTGGCTAAGGGTTTATCAATTTTTATTTAATCTTTCCAAGAACCAACTCTTCCATTCATTGATTCTTTGCATTGCATTAATTTATGCTTTTATCCATACAAATTCCTCCCTTGAATGAGTATTGGGCTTGACAGATGGTTCTCAAACTGATTGGTTATTATAATTATCTGCTTAGCTTCTTAAAAGAAAAAAACCATAAACATCAAACAAAACAGATACCTATCTCAAGACAACTAAACCAGAACCTTTCTGGTGGAGCCTTCTTGGGTATGGTTTTTGTTCTGGCCTTATTTTCTTTCTTTCTTTTTCATTCACTGGTTATTCTACTCTACAACCAGGGCAGAAAACCTCTGTCCTGTAGCATCTCTGATGAAAACTTTTGCAATTTCTCCAGCAATTGGTTCTCTGGTTATGCTTCTTGAACACTTCGCTCCTTGCTATTCCAACACTCAATACACTGACTTTCCCTTCACAAAACAAATAGCTCCTCGGGTTTGGAAATGTGCCTTACACATTATTCTGGTCCCAGCACCTACAAAGTATGGCACATCTTGCTGCAGCAGGGTAAGGATGTAATCATGGATGGATGGGTGGACCCAAATCCAAGTCCTATTAATCATTACAATTTGATCATTTTTTTGATTTCTCTAGGATTACCAGTCCCTTCTCTGGCTCATAATAAAATAGAGCTGTTGGCTTCCTTTGGGTCATATGGAACAGAAAACCACCAGGACTTGCCAATTTAAGATCATGCCCCTGGAGATAGTCCTCGCTGCCAAGTGCAACGCAACATGCTTCACGAAAATCCTACCAACCTCTGAATTTTTTCTCTCTTAGGTCTATAATGCACCCCCAACCCATATAATGTTTCCATTCTTTATTCCCTAATGAAGAGTCAGCAATTAAATATGCCAGCACTGCTTTTTCCCACAGGCGATGCCAATCCCTTGCTAATAAAACAAAATTAAATTAAAAACAAAAATGTTGATTTAAAAGACTTTAAAGTTATTGCCAAACTGCTTTGTGTGATTAATATATTCCACCAGTTCCATTACCACAAGGCTGTACCATGCAATTTAGTTCTTATTTAAATAGTTATTTGGTTGGGTTATTCATTTATATGTGCATGCATTCATTTAGCAAGTAACTCTCCAAACACCTAACACACGCACAGCACTTTTATTAATCTTAGCTCTCCAATTTAACTTCACGCGTGCAAGGAAAAAAGTGTCTGTATTTGTAACCAAAGTGTGTTAGGTTAAATCTTGTAAAACTACCTTTATTTTAAAAAACAAAACAACCCCTCTAAGCAATTTTATATGGTCTAGTTTAATACCTAGCCTTAATACATAAGCACCTAAGAAACTTTAAAATTGGCTGTACAGTTTTATCTATGTAATGGCATAATATTTAAGGCCTGAGAATTTTTGGAAAGATTTAGAACTTGAAAGAAGGAAGGAAGGAAGAAAGGAAAGAAGGGTTTGAAATACAAAAAGCTGAATTCAAAATCAAAATTAATAAATGTTTATTTACATGTCAATAATACATGTCAACTTCATTAGTTATTAAACATTCTATGGATTTATGAATAAAATTTGTTGGTTTTTCTCGCTGCAGAAATTCTTAAAAATGCATGTGATTGGTGAGGTATTTCAGTAAATGAATTGTTCATAGGTGAACAATTTCAAAGATAAAA